GCGCGCGAGGTTAACTACCATAAACAATGCTACAGGAATTACACAAGAGCTTAGTGCCCCTGTTTGCGAAGCCATGGTGGGGATGCATGCCTATACAGGTTGTGACACAACCAGTGCCTTCAGTGGCAGAGGGAAGAAGCTAGCATTTCAGCTGATCACCAAGCAAACCCCAAAAGGCGAGCTGGCTCGAAAGGTTATGGCAGCACTCGGTGCATCATTTGACGCACTACCAGCTGACATTTTCGCCTGCATCGAGCAGTTCACTTGCGGTATATACGGCTTCAACACCGCCATATCTATCAACGAAGTGCGATACCAGGCAGATGTTCTGCTCTCGCTCAACGCAATCCAGCTCCCTTCCTCCTTGCCAAGATGCGCTGCGCAAGCATGCTGCAAGAGCAAATTACCAGGCCAGTATCTGGCACCGTGCTCTGGAAGCTTCCGCGGATGTCCCACCACCGCATAGCCCTGGTCAAGGGTGGACCATTGATTCTGGCGGTGGTTTGGAAGTGGACTGGCTCAGCTTGGCACCAGCACCATCGAGCCTGATGGAATTTGTTTCATGCGGTTGCACGACAGGCTGCAAGCACGGACATTGCTCCTGCCGGAGACAGCACCTCAATTGCACAGATGCTTGCAAGTGCTCTCACTCGGGCCAGGAGTGTGAGAATGGGCAACCACTGGAGCTTCAACTTCAAGTAACTGCAGAACTCAGTGAAGACGAGGATGAATAAGAAAAAGAATGCCCATCCTGACAGGTATGTATAATGTGATTGAAGATTGAGTGTTCATTAGTGTTCAGTGATGCACATTGTACAATCATGAACATGTACGTGACTGTACATCATGCCCAATTCAAGTCCTTCTGATGTTTGCCCAGTGTTCAGTATCAATATCACATGTGGACTAAAATCAATGTGGGAGATATAAAAATGCACGGGAATGATCATTGCGATTATTTTTCATTGCCATCGGCTTCGGCCTCATTTCCCCTGTGCTGCGCTGATGAGTCCACAAAGGACGAACTAGTTCTTTCCACACGTTGGGTGATCATTGGAATTGGAATTGTGTATTTTCTGTGACCTGATTATTCTCTACAGGTCGACCTTTTTCGGCAACATGAAACATATTCCGTATGGCTAATCCTGCAGTATAAGTCAGTGTTATGATGATGAAGTCTCCCTCGTACACAGCTGCAACAAACGTAGTCCTCTGGGGTCACGCGGTCCTTCAGGTCTGGTCTGTCAGTGACCTGTGCTGATGGTCACAGTGTTGTGATCCTTTCTCTGGACATTCAGATTATTCTGCAACCCATATAATAACTATGCAATGCATAAATGCGGCTGTGTGTTCTGCCTCATACCTGTATAATGTACACCATTTTTGTATTGAACGGTCTGAGATATTCTTAGATCAGACATAGTATTCTGCAATGTACAGTACCTGCATGCCACAGCCAGTCCTATTATGAATGGTATACAATGACTCGAATGATGTTTCGAAGTAGTTACAGTATTGTGTTCGACACATGCGGTCTTCTTGCACACGTCTGTGTACATGAACAATATGGACGTATTGGGCATTTTGTTTTTCTTTATTTTTCATGTTATATCATATTTTTCTCTTTCCAGTTGAATCTGGGAAGGAGGCACTCTGTATATATGACCCTGTGGAAAAAATAATAATACCAAAAACATTGTAATTAGCCAGAAAATCCAATTTTAGGTTCTGGTTACCATGGCAACCAGTGCTGATTTGTATTTCACTCGCCGTGCAACCCTTGGACAAATTCAGGAATGACAACAAACGGGTTTTCAATGTATGCCAGTCCATCTATCGACTGGGCCAAAAAAATTGCGGTGCCCTCTTACTCGGAACGAGAATTCACATTTTTGTCACTTGGCCCACACTCGGACTACCTCCTTTCGCGGAATATTACTCAATGACAGGGGAGTTGACCAGTTCCCTTTGATTCATTTGCTTATGTTGACTCTTTCATTTACGAAAAGTGTGCTGATTTTGGGTGGAATGCAATAAATATGGAAAAGCTGACAGGATCGTTTTCTAAATTTAGCTTTTCCGCTGCCGAGACCTCCTTTAACCCTTTACTGTCCGATTAAAATGTATACAAGCCCACGCAACCACAAAATCTGAAACTAAAATTTGACGTAACTTTGGTTTGAATTTGACGATTTCCACGATCTTGGGCATCCTGGAAAGGTCTTGACGAGACGAACGCAATGAGCCCACACTCGGCACCACAGGATGCACTGGTCCAGCGCTGCAAGCCAGGGAACGCGCAAAAGCGCTGAGCTCACGCTCGAGATCGATCTCAATCCACCATGTCACCCCTGTTGCTCGTATCGAGCTCAAATATTTTCGTAGAGACTCCCGGGAACCTACTTTTGAATTTGAATTGGTGTAGCCTTGCCAACAGGTGACGTAAAAAGGGGAAATCCCAGCCGTCGACATGCGCGTCGCGCTCTGAACGCACATTTCCCGGGACCAGAATTACGAGTGCGATAACTCAGCAACCGCTCTTCGTATCGCTTCGGGAATTGTTCGAGACGACAGCTGAGACTTTTCTCTTCGACCTACATATTTCGATCTCTCCAAAAGACCTAGATTTGAGCAAGTTACGATAATTTCAAAATGCCTACCCCATCGATCCCATTGGATCGATGCTTGTATGTACGGACAGTAAAGGGTTAAAGGGAAACTGAACGCCAAAAATAAGTATGGCTTATCCGAAGGAGAATTGGGCACTGATTCCGATGAGCTATGTCTCGAGCCGATCAGAGAAGAGGAACTGTGTCAAATTTCATACATAACACCTCCCATATTTGGAAATTGGCCTTGATGACGTGCGTACTGCTTAGCTGTCACCATGCTGTGCATGTTCAGCAGTGTAATTGAATGGAAGAAAACAATTACTTTGGTGTTTTGCAGCTCTGTTTCGTTCCCTGACGGTAACCAAATCTAGATGTAGGAATCTGTTGAGCAGGAGAGTGACACATGTCTTCCCGAAGGCTGTCCAGGCTGCAGTGGTGATGAAGAAGACACGATCATCACCCCGAGATCGATCGTAGCGAATTGGAAAACTCATGGTGAATTAATTATTTGCTTCCACTCCAAGGCAATGTCGAGGTATGAAGAGTGCTTGTACTGCCTTCCAAAGTGAAGAGGAGATGAACATGGCTTTGCATAGCTGTTGTTCTATGCCAACTTACCTACTCTTGCTGGTACCGTAGTGGCATATTGCAAATTTCGTGGACGAACAACTCTAGTCACTAGTGGCTAGTGAGCAACACTAACAGGTGAGATTTTTCAATTCGACAAAAATTGTTTTTGTTTGAGAACTGGCAGTGGCAGTCATAAGACTCAGTAGGTGTCTTTGCTGCTTCTTTCCCTTCATTGGTAGGGTTGTGCTTGAATAGTACAAGTGCTTGAAGTAAAATAAAATAAATAGAACATGTGGAACATAAATCTAATCAAGCATCAGTACATGTATTGCGAATTTCAACTTCAAAGCACATGAAATCACAATGATCACGAAGTTTATGTAATCAGGAGTACACCCTGTGTTCAACGAACACATACACACATGCTGTATTGCGCACACACATGTACACATATGCGTGCAGCCCCACCCCATCCCACAGACACACACATGCAGCGCGCACATCCATACACATGTGCGTGTACCCCCCCCCCCCCCAAACACACACACATTCCTACCCATACACATGTGCGTCCCCCCCCCCCCACACACACACACGTGTGCACATACAGATACACAAACACACACGCACGAACACACACACACACAAGATACGTGTAAGTGTACATGGTCTTCCTGGTGCAGATGCTGAGCCAGCACAATGGAAAATACCTCCATCAAGATGCTTGATCAAGTGTTGTGATGATGGCACTGTTTGTTTGTTTTTACAAAGAAGTGTGGGAAAGATTACAATGCATTATAATTCATAATTGTTCTTTGCCTTGTACTGTGCAGACCAGAATGCTTCGCTATCAACTCCTGGCTTTCCATCGGCATGGTGTTCAGCTGCAGCGGCATCTGGTCCGGGGAGTTCAAGTTGCTGGATGACTGCACTGACACAGGTTGGGTTTGCGTTGGCAATGCGATACGGCAGTCATCCCACATCACGAGCTACATGTTTATGTAATTTATATTGTCGCTCGTCCAGCAACGTCAAGGCTCTGCATGTAAACACAGGAGAACACCATAATACTACTCAGGGGATAATAATTTTGGATATCAATTTCGTGACAATTATTGGATTCACACAATATTCACAACGTATGCAACACGATGCTGTCTATTGACACTACTTCAAACTGAAGTGCTCACTACTCCTCTCCCGTTTTCATCTCCCTCTACCTTATGAATACTCTGCATTACTGGTTTCGTTTCTACCCTTTCCATTGCTGCCTGCTCCCAGTTTTTTTCAATGCACAGCACCACCTTGACAGTCATTTTTGTGATTTGATGTACACATACTTTGAAGTTCAAATTCGAATTTCATGATCAGATTTTTGTTCCACATTTTCTATTTATTTTTACTTGAAGCACAACCCTACCGATGAAGGGAAAGAAGCAGCAGAGAGACACCTACTGAGTCTAATGACTGCCACTGTCAGTTCTCAAACAAAAACAATTTTTGTCGAATTGAAAAATCTCACCTGTTAGTGTTGCTCACTAGCCACTAGTGACTAGAGTTGTTCGTCCACGAAATTTGCAATATGCCACTACGGTACCAGCAAGAGTAGGTAAGTTGGCATAGAACAACAGCTATGCAAAGCCATGTTCATCTCCTCTTCACTTTGGAAGGCAGTACAAGCACCCTTCATACCTCGACATTGCCTTGGAGTGGAAGCAAATATACCCATGAGTTTTCCAATTCGCTACGATCGATCTCGGGGTGATGATCGTGTCTTCTTCATCACCACTGCAGCCTGGACAGCCTTCGGGAAGACATGTGTCACTCTCCTGCTCAACAGATTCCTACATCTAGATTTGGTTACCGTCAGGGAACGAAACAGAGCTGCAAAACACCAAAGTAATAATTGTTTTCTTCCATTCAATTACACTGCTGAACATGCACAGCATGGTGACAGCTAAGCAGTACGCACGTCATCAAGGCCAATTTCCAAATATGGGAGGTGTTATGTATGAAATTTGACACAGTTCCTCTTCTCTGATCGGCTCGAGACATAGCTCATCGGAATCAGTGCCCAATTCTCCTTCGGATAAGCCATACTTATTTTTGGCGTTCAGTTTCCCTTTAACGGAATACTCAATGACAGGTGATCTCTGAGTTGACCAGTTTCCTTCGATTCATTTGCTTATGCTCACCCTTTCATTTACGGAAACGTGTGCTGAACTGCTGATTGTATTCGGATTTAGAGCCATTTCTATCTCTTTGCCCTTGCCTACAGTGTGCGGAGATCGGGAGTTCACCTTCTTGACGGTAAGGCTTATGTTGCTGCTGAGGCTTAGATGCGTCGTTGAAATACTCATGTTCATTGTACATTGGTACGTTACAAGTAAGGCACTGGTCAGTGGCATACTATCGTTGGCAGTTCCCAATCTGGAGGGAAAGGTTGAAGGACCCATTGACCGAGTATGCAAAATAAATTCGCATATCAGGGAAAATTAGAATGATTCTCCATTATGGAGAGGTTCAGTGACTTGTTTGCTTCATACGAAACAAGCCAATGGGTGCAGTCTTGTAACGTGCGTCGGCGAGGCTAGGAGGCTACTACCCACAGTCAGTCAACTAACGTATCAGAACTTACTCCGGCACGGCCTGGAGGTTATCTTATATCAAAGTGAAAGTGAACTTGCTCTCTCTCTCTCAGCTCAGCTCTAATCTGAGCTAATCTGATGGTGGCAGAAAAGACAGCAGCTTTTATAGGCAAGCAAAGTATGTATAGCAAAGCAGGCGGCGGTAGGAAAGTAAGGTTAGTAAGCCATTGCAGTGATTACGAAATCATCCTTCTAGTACAAGTTCTAGAATAGTGGAGAAGGCAAACCTAGATCATCATTGCTATACAGGTAGATGAAGTGAGCATTGCGTAATATTAACATAATGACTAAGCGAGGTATTCTAGAAGATGAGATATCTATATTATGCAATTTAGTCAGCAACATTACTCATCGGGCATATGACGTGGGAAGTCTGGAATAGTCCGGAACAACATGACATACATGCGTACATGAGTCATGACTGTACCAACTAGTAGTAGTAACTAAAAGGAAGTGATACTAGAAGTGATGACAGCAGCATGCATGGAAGATCTATGATCAGGCTTCTAGAAGCGCGGTACTCCTGATGTAATCAAATCATATGTGAGGTACATGATGTAGGACTTGTCCGAAAGTAGTAACAAGAGTAATTATAAGAGTCATGCAAAATACATGTCATGTACTAGTCATGTGTAAACTGTAAAGCAGGGATACTACACCCTCCCTTCCTACACTAAATCACGCCCTCGTGATTTGACAGAGAGTTCGATGATGTATGATGAACAGTACTCACTAGAAGGCACCGTCAGTAGGTGGACTGGACAACTAACTTGCATTCACGTACATGTATTCTTGAATCTTGAACAGAGTGCTTGATATTCGGACGAAAGGGTGACAAATGACACTAGTAGTAGTAGTAGTTGCTCGAGCTCAGCAGCAGATCATAGGAGGCGGTGTGAACGTCATAGTAGATAGCGTATTACTTGTAGAGCGTCAACCGTAATATGGCAAATAATATCGGAAATGATAACGTTTTTTTAGAGTAGACAGAAGAACTGAACTGATAATAAATCAAAAAATAGAAGCACACCAGGTTCTCACCATCTCACGGGGTCAAAAAGGGAATATTGTCCTCCAAACAGGACCGAAAAAAAACACAGTTGACTTGCTGCACAACCCTGGCACAACCTGCCAGCCAAATCGCAGTTCCAAGCCAAACTGAGTACACAAGGGCATTCTCACACACATTGTCCCAGGTTAGCTAGGTAGACCGTGGCTCACCATGATCGGACGCCTACCGGACTAAACTGGATTCACTCACTCGCATAAAGGAAGACTGAAGAGAATAGAAAGACTGAAGGAAGACAGGAAAGAGAATGCCATACCTGGAATCAGCTTACATTGGACATGGAGCTTGATCGGTAGAGACGCTGTCCGTCATCGTTTCAGGCTAGGGGGAGACATGGCGGGCGAAGGAGTAGCGGCAACTGACGCATCGGGTTGGGCCATGCTGGTACCAATTTACCGCTGCCATCAATTCTGTAGTGCGGCTGCCATCATTGCAGTACAGATACTAGGTGGGTTCGAATCTAGCAATTATAAAATTGAACCACCGCTGCCATCAATGTAACGTGCGTGATCTAAGGCAATCCCACCGCTGCCACCAATGTAACGTGCGTCGGCGAGGCTAGGAGGCTACTACCCACAGTCAGTCAACTAACGTATCAGAACTTACTCCGGCACGGCCTGGAGGTTATCTTATATCAAAGTGAAAGTGAACTTGCTCTCTCTCTCTCAGCTCAGCTCTAATCTGAGCTAATCTGATGGTGGCAGAAAAGACAGCAGCTTTTATAGGCAAGCAAAGTATGTATAGCAAAGCAGGCGGCGGTAGGAAAGTAAGGTTAGTAAGCCATTGCAGTGATTACGAAATCATCCTTCTAGTACAAGTTCTAGAATAGTGGAGAAGGCAAACCTAGATCATCATTGCTATACAGGTAGATGAAGTGAGCATTGCGTAATATTAACATAATGACTAAGCGAGGTATTCTAGAAGATGAGATATCTATATTATGCAATTTAGTCAGCAACATTACTCATCGGGCATATGACGTGGGAAGTCTGGAATAGTCCGGAACAACATGACATACATGCGTACATGAGTCATGACTGTACCAACTAGTAGTAGTAACTAAAACTAAAAGGAAGTGATACTAGAAGTGATGACAGCAGCATGCATGGAAGATCTATGATCTTCTAGAAGCGCGGTACTCCTGATGTAATCAAATCATATGTGAGGTACATGATGTAGGACTTGTCCGAAAGTAGTAACAAGAGTAATTATAAGAGTCATGCAAAATACATGTCATGTACTAGTCATGTGTAAACTGTAAAGCAGGGATACTACAGTCTCATCTCGTGAAAATCTCGTACTTGTAAAATTGGATTTGTTTACTCGAGTCTGCACTGGGCTGTTTGATTTGTGAGTACCGCCGAGATTGCACTGCACCAAATAAAGTTGCATGCCGCCAAAAGCAAAAATTACGATCTGCAATCTGTTTGTAGTACCTGCGAGAATGTGCTGTACATGTATCGTACTTTCTCTGTTGCTGTTTCAGTTGCCGTCATGTTGCTAAAGAAAGGTTCAGTGCCTCATTTGTTTCATACGAGACGAGTCAATGGGTCGGTGTGGCGTAGAATCTTTCGCTGTAGAAGAAATCTATTCATACCGGGTATGTCTATTGGAGAAATAATTGTATTCACTGGTTATAAAATAGGTTAAGACAAACTCACAGAATAAATACCATCGGTCCCTTGGTGTTCGTCCTAAAGAGGTTTGACTGGATATCATTCATACTCACCAAAAGATGTGCAGCATTTTATTATTATGGAGTGCCTTGTTTATCTCTCAGTACCTCCAGGGTACCCTGTAAAAAGGCCTTAGGCCTGTAGGGATTGCCCTATCAAAAATTTGACAATTTGATAATAATAACCTCCAACCATAGCCTTGCCCCTTTTATCCTCAGGATCAGTGTAGTTGTTGGAACGAGGTGTCAGACTCAACAATGTTTACATTTTAATACATGTTTATTGTTCCTCCTTTGCTGTGTTGTTTTAGAAAATCGTGGACTAACAGTTTGAAGTCATTGAACTACTTCCAAAAGTTGTATCGACATCAACAGGATTACGATTTCAGTGCAATATAATACAGGATGACCTTATCACGATAACCCTTGATTATAAACAATTATAAGCACAGAATCAACAAAAACATCTGCGATACGCACCTTGCAGAAAATGGCACTACATTTTTTGTTTGTTGTAGCATAACGCATGTTCTTCTGCGGGGGAAACATGTGGTTAGGGGACGTCGCAAAAGTTTTTTGTCGTCCCTGAAACGAACATGATTCATTTGGGGGGGGGGGGGGGGGAGGGGGTGCGAGCCAAAATCGCAAAGTCGACCGACACTGTACATATGACATGTACATGCATGCGATTTTCGTCGTCCAGCGTAGCAAACTGTGTTCGTTTCAGAGGGAGGGGAGGGGGTCCAAGTACGAAATGAACGATGTTCGTTTCAGGGACGACAGAAAACTTTTGCAACGACCCCTTAGTGGTGGTGATACTTTTTTATACGCAGGTCATTCTGTGCATGTTGCTGTTGCAGAATTTCATGCCTGTCATGCAACTCCAGCTATGGGGTCTGCGACGGCAGAACTTCACATCACGTGATGAACCCGTGCACTCTGTGCATGATAGATACTGGGTTGTACGCAGCCCAGCTTTGGGTACAACTCTCTTGTGGTCACTTTGCAGTGTTTGCCAGCATAACCTTTTGAACCATGTCACGTGATGTGAAGTTCTGCCGTCGCAGCACAGCATACTAGTAGTACGAGGTGATTTGTAAAAATTTTACATGGCATATTATTTTACAAATCAAGTAAAATATCACTGTTGAGGACGATTGCATTCTTCCCATGAAGTGTTTTTGTTAGTTCGACAGACAAGTGAGTTGCCATTGTAATGTAGTTTGTAAGCATCAGCAGCGTTTAGCGGAATTGTTTTCTTCCACGGCCTTGTGAGATGTCAATCATGGATTGAAATTCGTGAATTTGTGGTCAATGAGGTAAAATATCCCTCAATGGATGCTTGAAGAACGTCCAAGAGCCAGCGAGCATATTCTACGGCAGGTGGAAACCCTAGGCTGGTCACCGATGCCAGCATTGAGTCTGTCACACCGTCAAAGTAGCAGGGCTGAAGAAGAGATTAGCCAAAAAGGTGAAGGTCAGAAACTGCAATTTTGACAAAAGGTGTCTTTCACTCACCTATCATGAAAGGTGATTCAAATCCAAGTCCGAAGCTGCTGATGCTTATGGCATACAGGTTAATAATTAGCTGTTCAGTAGAGCTAGCTGCGTATGAAGCTCAGCTTGCTACCTCAGAAGTGCTGGTAGAGATTCACGATGGCAAAGTGCAAATTCAGGAAATGCGGCATGAATGTATGTTGGGGGTTGACGGCGGAGCACCCATTGAGGGTGGTCTGCAGTCTTCTTCCAACACAGAAGTATTATGAATCAGGTGAAGGAGTCACTGCACTTGTCTTGGAGAGTATGGAAGCCCCAACATTGTCAGTATGTGCCGGTTAAATGCACTGTGGCCCAGATGCACGAAGGCACCCTGTCGTGGGACGGCCGGCACGCATCATGGATGGTATTTTGCTTAGTGTGGTTATTTCACGTAAGAGGATGCACTGCAAGTTGTAAGAAATGGAGCAGCAAGATAGGGTCTGCGTTCTCATGCTCTACAATGCCGGCAGGCGGTCAAAGATACCCTACCGTTTGGAACCGCAGTTGACGACGTACAGAAACCAATACGTAGGGCAACCTGCAAAACCAGTCTGCTTTCTCTGCATGTGACTTGCTTCAGATGTATCTTGATTTCCCATTGAAAGCTTATTGACACATTCAGGTCATATTTGTTGATGTTAGACCCTATTTTACTGACTTGTAAAATTTTGTACACACTTTTTCTGGGTGAAAAAATGCATGCAAAGCAACCCCACACTGTGTCTCTCATGTTTGTGGTGTTCGATCAAGAAGTCCATACGTGGATAGAGGACATACATAGTGACAGAATGAGACCATGCACACTTCAAAACTCGCCAGGGCAACGGAATGATAGCCTTTTTTACTTTCATGTAAAATTATTACAAATCACCTCGTAGAGGTTGTGCAGGCAGTTGCACACTCTTGGGGTTATGACCGTTATGTACTCTTGACGGTATTTATATGTATATTTTATATTTATTACATATCAAGACTCGGTGGAAACACCGGCCAATGTTAAAGAAAGTGGGTGATTGCCAACCACGGTGATAAATAAAAGTAAGGGGAGGGAAAAAGAAAGAGTAGCATAATGAACAGCAACAACAACTCCGTAAAAAAAGATATGATGTGAAGGCCATCATTTACATAAGGGCATTCCATTGATTGGTGACAGAAAAAACAAAAGAAATTATAGCAATAAAAACTGCTTTATGGCAGCTTTCTAAAAAAAGTTATTGTGTTCTAGTCCTGGGTCTGGCCTAGGCTATAGAAAATTAATTGCTTCCAAACTGGCTTAGACTCCGTCTAAAAAGTAAGAAATTAACGAAATGTGATTGCCGAAAATTAAAATTTCACACAAAACCTCACAATAATCACACACAGGATGAAAAGCTAGAAGATCTTCCCCTCGTGATCTTCTTTCCCATGCATGCATGTTTGTGCAGTACAAGTACAAGTACAGTGTCAGACTTAACAAGTGTTGAAAGCAGTATTTGATTGTCAAGTATTGTGATTATTGTGAGGTTTTGTGTGAAATTTTAATTTTCGGCAATCACATTTCGTTAATTTCTTACTTTTTAGACGGAGTCTAAGCCAGTTTGGAAGCAATTAATTTTCTATAGCCTAGGCCAGACCCAGGACTAGAACACAATAACTTTTTTTAGAAAGCTGCCATAAAGCAGTTTTTATTGCTATAATGTTTCCTGGGAAGGCGCTGACTCTGCCGAGCACGCGCGTTCTGGAGTCGACGGGATCACTCTGCCGACGTTTCCTGTGACCGGCGCTGACTCGCCCGTTCACGCCTATTTTGGAGACGACGGGATCTCTCTTCCAAAGTATGTTTTTGCTGACGCATCCTATCACCTATTCGGCAACTAACATCCATTCTAATTTCATTTCCTCCTCGTCTCCCTATTTCTTTCCAGAAAGTCTCTCTATACATCAGGGAGTCGTACTGTATCGGCAGCTACCCTAACGGGTAGTAGTAGTAGTAGTAGTAGTAGTAGTAGTAGAATTTAATATTTTGATAGGGAAGGCCCTACAGACGTTCACGCCGCCCACCACCCAAGCATGGGTATGATGAGGGACAGTGGCAACAGAAACAGAAAAAACAGCAAGCAGGGAGAGAAAGCAAGAGAAAAGAGAGGTTCCGGGGTACGATTTTCCGTGTCAAAATCCGTATGGGCGCTACGGATTTTTTCCAGGCGTGCTCCATACGATTTTTCGGCACGAGAATCCGTGTGGACTGGCTTTCATACGAACCATGCTTCGTATGGAGATTTTGCGTCATCGGGTGCAGAAAGATTTTTCGCGTACAAATTTGGTACGAGAAACATCGATTTTTCGCGGGAAGTTTTGATTTCGGTACAAATTTTCAAAATAAAAAGGCATAGCGCGGGAATGTGACGTGTTTGCGATCGTAACCTAGGCAATGACGGCAAACACATAATCTCCGTACCCCGGAACTTTTCACTGCTCGAAAACGACGTATAAAAAATCCGTAGAGCCTCCACGGATTTTGGCACGAAAAATCGTACTCCGGAACCTCCCTAAAGACGGCGATAGTAGTACATCTGGTGTGCGACGTATAGAAAAGAGGGATGACAAGAGATGCGCACAAAATAGGAAACAATTATTTTTGCAGTTCCGAAACAATCAACTAGGTGATGGAGTGTGGGCACCCGAAGTCCCACCTGGACTCCACTGGAAGAACATCCCACGCAGGGATATCAGCGATAGGCCAAGCGTTGAAAAACAGCCATGAGGACACATCGTCTAGAAGTCCACCGCGCTCGAACTGAAATTGCAGGTTCAAACAATTTCCCACGCGGCGTCAGGCAGCGTAACTCTTCTCCCTGCATCACCATCCATCTCCAGCAACCGTCTCCACTCACAGCTCATGCCTCTGCCACCACTGTACTCCTCCGAGCTTCGCAGTCACAAGTTGAAACCATTCGGGGGTCAGCTACACCACCGCGAATGGAGAGACGAGGACGACAACGGTCGTGACTGAAAAGACACTGCCTTGGCGACCGCGTCGCGGAACCCTCGCCCCAGCAAATTCAGAAATACTCCAGGGGTAACTCTGGTGGACCCAGAGCCACCCCCTTGGCAAGACTAGTAAGAGGAACGACTGAAAACTCAGATAAAACGGAGCTACAAAAAGTGCAACCGTCCCCTTCAAGCACATATGCAACACACAGGGAGTCGTATACATGTACATAAATATTGTGGCCAGCTGTTTGTAGCCAGCTGTGTTTGATGGTACGGTACGGTACGGGACAGATACTGGAGCCAGCAAATGGCCAGCTGTGCGATACGGTACGGGACAGATACGGGATAGCGCCAGGCGTGACACAAACAAACAAACAAACAAACAAACAAACACCAAATTAAAGCTGTGTGGACCCTGGCTAGCGCCAGACGTAGGCCTTGACGGATTCTGCTAGCATAATTTTTCGCATAATTCCTACCAAAATCGAATAGTCGAATAATTCGAGGCAAATTGCATACGAATCGCATAAATTGGAATAATCCGCCTGTTCGCATCGAATTCCATACAGTTGTACATGTTCTACAAGTACAAGTACAAGTTGATGCATCAGGAAGTCGTAGGTTTACGACTCCCTTAATAACATGTCCAGTCCACTACAATCAGTGACGGTCGTAGCTAGGTCGGACAGTACTGCAGTGCGTTGACCCCGTTGAACTTTTGCTACTACAGTACAGCGCCCTCTACAAAAAAATTCCCCTGTTATTTTGCACAGAACCATCATATACATTAGCAGCATATGTGAGCATAATACGGCATAATATGTATAGCGTTTAGCATAAAAATAGCATAATTCTGCAATTTTTTCAGCAATGCGAAAAGCATAATTTCACGAAAATATTAGCATAATCCGTCAAGGCCTAGCCAGACGTTACTGAAGTAACGTCTTCTGCATAGCTACGGGAATAAAAGTGCACTTGAAACCCATGTTATGATTATGAAAACATGAGAGTTCATTCTTGTAGGCGGTACCGGTATAATTATTCTTTTACACGACCACGCTATAACCGATACGCACTGTGCATGGCTGTATTGAAATTGTGCTAATCTATTCTTGAAAATTCGTGTCACCACAGTCGCCCTCCTACTAAGTACTAGGCTCCTAGGAAGCTCGTCAGAATAATGATGCTACCGGTATTAGGGCGCGTTCGAATGGTCACTCTTTGACTTTTCGACGGGTTTCGTTTTTCTGAAGAGGTGGCCTTATTGGCCTCTTCAGAAAAACGAAGCTCCTCGAAACTCCACAACCTCATCCAATGGGAGAGGTGGATTAGTTCCGAAGAGTTTGGAATAGCTACGTCACGTAGTACGTGGAGATGGTCGATCTGATCGGACGTCATCATCGCCATGACAATTCCACTGAAAAACTCTAAAATCATAGAAACCGTTCTAATGGGGCACTTCAACTAATCTCTGAAAACAAATTGTTTGAACAGTCGATCGATGAAGACAATTCGAACGCGGCCTTAGTATTACTATCATTGTGAGACGTTGCACGCTGTCATCGTGAAAAAGGGTTGCAGTAACGTTAGCATGACTGTACTTGTATTACAAAAAATAGGGTTGTCTTCACGATGACAGCGTGAACAAGGCAGGCCCATCGCACCGACTTTGGAGGTGGGGCAGCCATGGAAAGGGGGGGGGGAGGGGTTGGGGGACCCTCCCCGGAAAAATGTCAAAAATTGAAGCCAACCAATTGCAAGCATTTCTGGGCGTTTGGGAAACCAAGAAGACGCTACGATCAGGGACAAGGATTCTTTATTATCCTACCCGGGAACAAAATTCAAAAATTGAAGCCAATTGCAAGCATTTTCAGGCATTTGGTGCCATTTCAGTGTAACTGCAATGAAAGACTTTTTGATTCTGCAACAAACCACGATTGGGGACAAGGATTGTTTGCCATGTTTGCGCTGAGCTGCGATCATTGTGCTTTGTTGCAGTGTGCTCCGAAAAAAAGAAGAAGAAAAAACGGCCCTCAGCTGCCCCGGCTGTGCATGTGACGGCCTTGCAAGGCGAAGCAGTGCTCCTGACTATAACCATAAACCGGTTGTCACCGTGAAACCATGTTACCTATCAGGCAAGGCTTGCATTATATAAATAGGATTGTAGTAAATGAGTACACTCAAACGCCTCTTATCCGGACGCCTCAGATACAGGCCCGTCTCTCTACCGGGCACCTTCACTTGCTTGAGGTCCTATGGCAAAATGCTTCGAATTTGGGGGGCTTGAATTTTTTTCGTATGCGCAAGCGCTTATTTTGTCACTATCAACCTGTGTAATCCTCACGTTGTTCTCAATGGATCATTTTTGTATCCCTAACATGTGCAACTTGATCAGTGGTTGTCAAATAAACGTTCGTGTTCATACTGTAAGATATTAAACTTAGACAAGTAATGTTAACGAACATTTAACTCTAACGAGTTGACGGATTTGAAAGAATCGTTAACATTGAAGTCGTTATGTGCAAAACGATAATTATGTACATGTACAGTACGAGAGCGTCGTACAGTCACTTGCCGGTTTTGAGACAGAATTCGTTAGAATTTCACCTCGTTAAGCCACAAAAATCCGGAGATCGTTAACTTTAATTGACGTTAAAATATCTGGTCTTACACTTGAAGTTTAATACAGTAATAATTATAGCAATAAAAACTGCTTTATGGCAGTTTTCTAAAAAAAGTTATTGTGTTCTAGTCCATGGACCCCGTCTAAAAAGTAAGAAATTAACGAAATGTGATAGCTGAAAATTAAAATTTCACACAAAACCTCACAAGAATCACAACACTTGAAATGCTGCTTTCAACTTTAACTTGTACTCGTACTGCACCAACAATTGGCAACATGCATGCATAGGAAAGAAGATCACGAGGGGAAAAGGTCTTCTACATGTAGCTTTTAATTCTGTGTGTGATTATTGTGAGGTTTTGTGTGAAATTTTAATTTTCAGCTATCACATTTCGTTAATTTCTTACTTTTTAGACGGGGTCCATGGACTAGAACACAATAACTTTTTTTAGAAAACTGCCATAAAGCAGTTTTTATTGCTATAATTTCTTTTGTTTTTTCTGTCACCAATCAATGGAATGCCCTATATCAATATGTGAATGATGGCTTTCACATCATATCAAGAGGTTTATGTACTCTTGATCATATCAATACCGTATTATACCAAGAGTACATAATGGGGGTTATGTACTCTTGATTATACGCATTGATGTGCCAGCCTTTTCTTGCAGAAAATGGCACTAGCATAATGCATGTTCTTCTGCGGGGAAACATGTGAGTAGTCAGGTGGTGATACTTTTTTTATACGGAGGTCATTCTGTGCATGTTGCTGTTGCAGAATTTCATGACTCTGCCATAATTTTGTCTTGCCTTTCAGATATTTCAGATTTCCCCACCCTCGAGCCATGCGCCAGGTGCGTGTCGCAGATGTTTTTGTTGATTCTGTGTTTATAATGGTTTATAATCATGGGTTATCGTGATAATAATAATAATAATAATAATAATATCTTTATTAGGATGACCCAGAGGCTTGTCGCCTGTGATAAGGTCATCCAGCATCATATTGCACTGAAATCGTAATCCTGTTGATGTCGATACAACTCTTGGAAGTAGTTCAATGACTTCAAACTGTTAGTCCACGATTTTCTAAAACACAGCAAAGGAGGAACAATAAACATGTATTAAAATGTAAACAAATACATTGCTGAGTCCGACACCTTGTTCTAACAACTACACTGATCCTGAGGATAAAAGGGTCAAGGCTATGGTTGGAGGTACTGATACTGAGAGATAAACAAAGCACTCCATGATAATAAAATCTTACACATCTTTTGGTGAGTATGAATGATATCCAGTCGAACCTCGTTAGGACGAACACCAAGGGACCGATGGTATTTATTCTGTGAGTTTGTCTTAACCTATTTTATAACCAGTGAATACAATATTTCTCCAATAGACATACGAATAGATTTCTTCTACAGCGAAAGATTCTAAGCCACACCGACTCATTGACTCGTCTCGTATGAAACAAAAGAGTCACTAGAGAGGTTCTGCAAAACGAAAATGCGTACAAACTTTCGCTCTACATCATGAAGTGCGAAACTTCGCAACTTTGGACGCGAAACTTGCAGGGAACGCGAAATGAACTGTTGTAGGAAATTTCGTGAGATCGGGTCATGGCGTACGTGCACTTGGCCCGCGCAAACTACGAAAATGTGCAGAACGCAAAGTTTGTGCAAAAATTCGTACACACTTTTGCAAGGACTGTCGCGAAACTTCGTTAGAATTTTCGTTTTGCAGAACCTCTCCAGTGAACCTTTCTTTAGCAACATGACGGCAACTGAAACAGCAACAGAGAAAGTACGATACATGTACTGCACATTCTTGCAGGTACTACAGGTACTACCAAGAGTACGGGGGGTTATGTACTCTTGGTACTACAAACAGATTGCAGATCGTAATTCTTGCTTTGGCGGCACGAAACTTTATTTGGGGCAGTGCAATCTCGGCAGTACTCACTCAAACAGCCCAGACTCGAGTAAACAAATGCAATCATACAAGTACGAGATTTTCACGAGACGACACAGCACCCATTGGCTTGTTTCGTATGAAGCAAACAAGTTACTGAACCTCTCCACAATGGAGATTTTCCCTGATATGCGAATTTATTTGGCAAACTCGGTCAATGAGTCCTTGAACCTTTCCCTCCAGATTGGGAACTGCCAACGATAGTATGCCACTGACCAGTGCCTTACTTGTAACGTACTAATGTGCAATGAATATGAGTATTTTGACAACACATCTAACATAAGCCTTACCGTCGAGAAGGGGAACTCGCGTTCTTCGCACACTGTAGGCAAGGGCAAAGAGATAAAAATGGATCTAAATCCGAATAAAATCAGCACACGTTTCCGTAAATGAAAGGGTGAGCATAAGCAAATGAATCGAAGGAAACTGGTCAACTCAGAGATCACCTGTCATTGAGTATTCCGTAAAAGGAGGCCTCGGCAGCGGAAAAGCTAAATTTAGAAAGGAGATCCTGTCAGCTTTTCCATTATTTATTGCATTCCGCCCAAAATCAGCACACTTTTCGTAAATGAAAGAGTCAACACAAGCAAATGAATCAAAGGGAACTGGTCAACTCACCTGTCATTGAGTAATATTCCGCGAAAGGAGGTCTCAGCAGCACCGAAACGAAATAAGCCAGGCCAGGAGACGAAATATCCGAAACAGCTCATGCAAGAAGCAGTTCCAAAGAAGGAAGTTCCTCGTGCATGCACATCCGAAAAGGCAACAACAAAAAGTCTGCAATGCACACGCATGCGGCCATCCGGCCGCGCGATGGTAGGAGCCATGGAGTAGCTCCGGCCTCCCTGCAGGACCAGGTACCGAGCATCTTACGTAGAAACTTACGTAGCTACGTAGACAACGTGTCTGAATAGCGGTGTCGTTAGGTAGCGCCATGTGAACACAATAAAAGCTGACAGGATCGCTTTTCTAAATGCCCATGCATAGCTTAAATCCGATGATAATGAGTCATAATGTGCGCACTGCACTGCAGCCGGCTAGCCCAATGTGGGCAATGACTATGCCAAGACTATGGCGATGGTGTGGAATGAGCGCAATCGCGCGCCCAACACCATTCAGCCCAACACTATTCAGCCGTTTTGTCTTTCATTCCGGAACAGTTTGTGTAAAGTGGTTACAGTCACGACACGCCAACCACTGAGTGACTGTGGGAAAGGCTTGAAAGCGACCAGCGAGCCTCACTGCCCTCAGCCCCTGTTCCTTCCTCCAAACCACAATAGTTGCCACAACAAGCGTACAAAGCTGACACCTTCTAGTACTAGTAGTTCTACTTCTACAAGTTCTAGTGCTAGTAGAAGTAGTACCAGTCCTACCAAGACTGGCAAGCGTCCACAATCTGTTATCATGATAATGGGGGATTATTTATGGGCTCCTGTCTTGGTCCTACAGACTACACGTAATAATTATGTAGGCTAACGGGTAAGTGCCAAGCTTCGATCGCTGACAGACATCACCCCGGCTCTACACTACAGCCGTACACATGGTACAGGCATCAGTACACAATGTCATCTGGTAACAGCAGGGAGTCATAGCTATATAGACTCCCGAGTAACAGTCATGTTCGTGGTGTATGTGGTGACAGCGTCCCGCTTCGGTGAGCCTTTTCGAGGTTGAGAGCGCTGGCGAGAGCGGTCGTCCATGCACCAAGGCTAGCATGCCACGAGTGAAAATGCTACCTGACACAGAGAGAATTGCAGAACGCAGGATGAAAGACAGTGATGCATGCAATCGATGTGATACTGATACATGTAGTGTTACCCCCGCGTGCTCTGTTTCCCTTTTCTTTAGAATGATTCTGATGTAGAAGTCGTAAATATTTATCCCACTTTCAACTGACTTATTCCAGCAAAGCAATTGACTGACCTAGTGCACGCGGATCAGTAGCGGAGCGGTTGGTCGCAGGAGTACTTACTAGTAGTTGCACAAGAGCGGCGGTACTGGCAGCGCAGAAAAGACGGTGCTACTCGTTTGGTTAATTTCTAATGCCTGCCAGTTATCTGGTTATTCATCACAATTCTAGCACCACAGGAACACTGAACTGCTGAAGGCAGCAGCCTATCAGGCTAGTAGTGTGCTGTTTGTTCATTGCGAGCGTGCCGTTGGAACTTGTCGATTCTTACATGAACCTGACGGGAAAGGTGAAGGATTGCATAGCATCAGATATGCACTCGTATGAACAAGCTCGCTGCTCGTGATGCGGAAGAACGAATCTTCGCTCCACCGTCAGACCTGGATGATGGCTAAAACCGGTATCCAGGGATGGCTGGTCCTGCAATTGCTTGTGTGTATGGCTGGCAATAAACATTGCCTGGTGGCACTGCCGAGTAATGCGACCAGCAGTACACCATCACGTGCAGAGCAGTTGCTGAATATTGACACGGCGCCATCCTGCAAGACCAAACTGATGGTGATGATTGTGTCGGACGTACGGCAGCGCTGGAAACGGGACGCCCTGCGCGGGTCCTGGGCCTCGCCGCACGGCGGCTTGGGCGGTGACAAGGTGCGCTACTTTTTTGTTGTCGGCATGCTATGGGATACCGTGCCGCCAGCCATACTGCAAGAAGCTGACGAATACCAGGATATTATCATAGTGCCCACTGACGACTTTGACTTTTCCATGTACACGCACAAGGTGGTTCACGGCATGCAGCTGGCCGCGCGCAACTGTCGTTTCGAGTACTTTCTGAAGGTCACCGAGTTCAGCTTTGTCAACATGTTCACTATCGGGCAATGGCTGGAGAAGCTGCCGCCCAAGGGTGTATATCGCGGTCGCATCATCCATGCTGCGGGTGCACAGCGGAACGCAAACAGTGTATGGTACATGCCTACAGCGACGTACAGCCGTGCACAGTATCCACCGTACGCACAGCATGCTTTCCTGCTGTCGCGCGACCTCTTCGGCAAAGTCGTCGAGATGGAGAAGCGCTATCGAGACGTGTACTATGATGACGTGGCCGTGGCGGTGTGGCTATCCGATCACGACATACACCCGATACAGGACACGGCTGTATCCTTGAACGCTGACTGCCAGGCACCAGTCATCATTGAGCTCACTAGCGCCGAGCTGGCGGCGTACGGTGAGAACATGCGAGAGCGCGGCAATCACATACAATGCTATGCTCCTTGAACACCACGGAAGGTTGGCATCTGGATTTTTAAAGTGGATTCCCAGGCTATTGCCATGATTCCCTGCTATGTATCAGATGCAGTGCAAGGTGAATGGTACTCTAGGGCATTGCCTCCCAGCTTAGTCATTGGTGTACTGGATACATGCAACCATGGCAGCTGTTGTAGTACTATCGTGAGGATACTGTATCACACCATTCTACGGCAGTGGAAATATGACCAGCCGAGGCGCCCATGTGCAATGTGAACAGCAGAGCTGTGGAACCAGCAGTTCCTATCTGATAGTGTTTCTACATGGGTCACAGTTCAGATTCCATGCTGCATCCACCTGGGCACACTCATGAGTCAATACAGCGGACAGTGAGAGGTGGCTGACCCAGTGACTGCACGGGAGCCTATGAGAAGGAAAAGTCTGCTCAATGTCTTCCATGACTGCTGATTGACACAGAACGGCGGTTAATTGTTCTTTCTTGTGCTGTGCGCTTGGGAGAGTGTATTGCATGCTCTAATACTGAGCGTAGCAATGGCATCGCCACTGTTGCTGCATTCCTGAGTACGTCATCGGTTGCTCTTGCTCCTATGTTCCCCATGAGTGATGATAGCCGCTGCTTTATTGAAATTTCCATCGCTATAATTATCATTTTATCTTTATTCCCAACGATACGAACCAGTTGACCATTGGATGTATTCCACGGCATATTTATATTCAGCTGGAGTATCATTAGCTATCCCAAGTGAAGATATACATGTACATATGGCAGATACATGTATGTGCCATTGTCATGTTTTCATCCATAAACTAATTTACCATGGCACATTATGGAATGAATTATTTAGATTATTATACACACTGTTGTGAATTCCAGCAGAAATCCAAGAGAGCTCGATACCGGGAAGGTAGAGCCGTGACACTAGTCAAAACGACAGATGGCTTGATCAGTCACAACTTAAAGTTTCATGCCATCTCAGGCACAACGGATGGCTTGATCAGTCACAACTTAAAGTTTCATGGCATGAGTTTCATGGCATGAAACTTTAAGTTGTGACTGATCGGCAAGCCATCTGTTGTTCTGACTAGTGTGTTTAGATTATTATACATGCATTTGCTTTTATCACGTGACAAGCTACCTGAGTGGCATCATGTGCTTGTATCAAGTAAGTTATTTTCAGTTGATGTGTCACCACGGGGTGCAGGCATGCATAGTGGGATGGATGGTCTAAAACCATGATAGAGAAATGGGTACCGGGTTCGAATCCTGCTAGGAAACGGAAGGATTTTTTCGGCCGTGACCACTTTGTGGTGGGTCTGATCTACACACCTCCCACCGCTTTAGGAGCTGCATCTGCGCCTTGACCCATAGAGGGTGGTGGCGTTGCTACCTTGACCCATAGAGGGTGGTGGCGTTGCTACGGATACGGAAAACTTGGCCTCCAGCCGAGTCTCAAGCGAACTGTGAAATTGTGTTTGTTGTCACCATGGTCACCATGGGACGTTTCTCACCTCGAACCCGTGAAGCCTGGGATAAAACTTTAATTAAATAGCAGCCACCAGAAACCGTGTCGTCCGTCCACTAACGAAATGGCAAACACCCAGCCATTTCAGATTATCACCCGAAGCCAAACACTCAGCAATGTATCAGCGAGACTACAAAGTCTGCCCATGGTGATATTGAGCACAGTCTGGGACAGAGGAAGAATTACCGTATACTATGCAGTGAGACTAGAAACACACACCTCCAGTCTTGCAAACTCCACACCCAACATCAGTGGCACATGTGCCAATGCGTTGTGGTAATTCACGGTCATAAAAGATTCTAAGGGAATCAATAACTATAGGTTTAATACTCGAAGTAACATTTTCGGAACAGGAACTGGGGTGACATATCGGAATGAGCATTGTCCATCTCTAGTAGGAAAACCAGGCAGGTGGGAGGAGGAGGGGGGAGGAGGAGGTGGGAGGAGGGGGGAGGAGGAGGTGGGAGGAGGGGGGGGGGGGGGGGATTGACAACAAGCACAGGCAGAGTGCAAAGAAGATTGATCATCAGTGCATGGTCCAGGCTAATTGTCTCCATTGAGTATGGACGGGAGAAACTGTAAGTAGTACTCAGCAACATCATGGTGACCAAGATCTGACGGGTGTGTGCCACCCACCGTCGGGTTGATCAGGGAGTTAACGCCGAACAAGTTGCTGCCATTAACATAGTGCAAGTTCTTGTCCCCAGCCTTGACCAGAGCCAAATAGTTAGTGTGCAGCGCCTCTCGCTTTGCTTGCTGTCCCTCGTACGTTCCCCCATGCAGCCAAAAGTCGCCATACGTTGTGCCTTCGGCAAGAACAATGGGGATGGTTGGGTGCTTCTGTCGGAAGTACTTCACAAGCGGCTGTGTGAGCTTTGCAACACTGTCTCCTTGCAGATTGGGGTTGCAATCAATTATAAACGCCGCAGCATCAATCTCCGTCAAAAACTCGGCAACATTGATCTATGAGCAGAGACGCAAAGGCAAAGAAAAGACACACAAGAATGGACTCGGATGGAGAGCCAAGGATAAATTTATAGTAAACTAGAGAAAAAGGACCAAGAAACTACAAGTTACGCTACAATGTCCAATAACACCACCAGTTACTAAACAATCAGCTCATGCGATAACATTGCACGACACTGATTGTTGGAGTGCGCATCCAAGATGTGCTGGAGCTGTTAGCCAGTTAGGTGTAGAACGTCAGTACCGTCGGTCAGTGTCGTGCAATGTTATCGCATGAGCTGATTGTTTAGTAACTGGTGCTGTTAGTGGACATTATAGCGTAACTTGTAGTTTCTTGGTCCTTTTTCTTTACTATAAAAGACACACAGAGTGACTATTTTAAGTTCAGTCACCGCGAAATTTCCATGTGCGTTGTGATAGGAAGTCATTATACCCATCCCAGTGGAACTGAAGCACCAACACTGCCACGCCTCTAAGGGTCGCTACACAATTACTATAATTATGATATCAAAAGTTCAACAGAATCCAAACACAGCAGATACACAGTAGCCATGCATGTGCATTGAACTTTGAACTGAGTACACAGTGTAATTAAGTTCCAGTGCAATTTTGCTGATCAGACGACTGTCCAAGTGTATATCATTGCCTATTATGGGTACAAGAGTAATAAGATAGAACAGTTCAACTAACCTCCATTTTGCCATTTCCTGCAAAACCAAAGTTCCAGACTTCGTTTCCAGTGGATAACTGTTGCGAGATGACATTGGTGTAGGTCATGCCAGCGCGAGATGCCACTCCGCCCTGGCAGATACTGGTGCCATACCAAACCACCGGTTTCTTGGGCACGTAGCTGGTGTCGGGACGTATTGTGCTGCCGGTGGGTACGCCGATTTGGCCCTGTATCAACGTGTTCCTCAAGGGTAGATACAGTGCATATGTGTTTTCACCAGATGGAAGACCACTTGCCAACTCGATGAGTTCAGGTGCTGGATATGAGAATTGCGTGACTGTTCCAACCCATCTCCAGACAGGTTTACCGGCTGCATCTGGAGGGAAATGTTGAGAGAGGACGCTGCAAATCATTTATCGGTACTTTGAAAGCAGCAGAGAACATTTTTGAGATGTTCTTTGCCGCATTGAAACACAGTACTGGGCACACATAACGAGACTAGAACAGAACCAAAACTTGAAGATGTATGTGTGTCCAGTACTTGTTACTTGTAGTTTTAAATTGATATACTTCAAGTAAATTTAAAATTATTATGTCCGAGTTTCAAGGTAAGGAGAGTACATGTACATGTACTGGACAACCTGAGGGTCTGACCCCGAGATGCCTCCACACTGCTGGCACCAGCCTTTGAGTATGTGTACCTGTTTTTAAAGGGGAAGTTAAGGCAAAAATTAAAATTTCACCAGTTGTAGTCTTCGGGGTGCTGAGTCGAATGGTCTTGGTCCGAGAAAGCTGAGACGCTTCCTTCCTACTTGAATCCCAATCGAACTCGCGCACTTCCACCGAAACTGGGTGACTGCGCCCTACGAGATGGGGATTTGTATGCAAAATGTCACTAAAAGCGCCATTTCGTTCTTATAAAAGCACGGATGACCGCGATTGGCCCATATGTTGTAGTCCTTTGGACGCTGAGTCGACTGGTTTTG